GTTAGTAATATAATGTGCTTTTTAAAAAATGCCCCTTTCATGTTTTGGAAACTGAATAAACTACTGTCACTATATAACTACGTTAGTCAGGAAGCATTAATTTTTTTCCTTCCTTTTGAAGGAATTGTTGTGTCTCTGTACCTAAATATTTTGGAAAACCCTGGGAATTCCCTAACCAATATGCTTTTCCAGAAAGTCCTTTACTATGCAATGTGGATGCAGCTGTTAAATGATTGACTTATCTGAAGCATTTTTACTTACATGTTTTTTTCACCTGTGTAACAACTTAGCTTGGCTTTGAAGATAGTTTTCCTTTTAGGATGCATACAGTTGCATACATTATGCTTTGAAAAAATTACATTAAAACAAAAAAATATGACCTTTAAAAGCATGGTTGAGTTGCATTCATTTTATAACCATCAAAGCAACTCTGTACTGTTGTAAGGTAGAAAAATCAATGATGCAATCTTTTTCCTTTTGCCTCGTGCAATCCGTAATTGAAATGGAAAATCAAATGAACGGCTAACAGATAATTGTTTTATCAATATTCCCTGCCTGCCCTACAAGGGTCAGCATAGAATGATCATGAGCCAGGGATATGATGAGGACAAAATGTGAAATTGAACAGCAAGGAGGCAATAAATCAGCCTTGACAAGAAAGAGTGACCAGCATGTAGCTGTTGTAGGCAGCTTTGGGGACAGTTTTTGTCTCAGGTGTCTGCCCTGATTTAAGAATGTGAGTATATAATATTTGAAGCTTTGCCACCACTAAGCTTGGCTATTTTGGGGTTATAGTACCATAAGATAATACACTACTTAAGAAAATCTGAGCAGTAATCTGACTGTAATTTATCTTAAAAGAAAAATCTTGAAATAAATAAATTTCCATAAATTCAGATATTCTATATGGTATAATTAAGAAAATAAATGTATAAAAATATTTTATTGTATTGTTGCATTTATGCAATAGGCCTTGACTGTAAAATGAAAATGATTCACTGAATTAGTTTTTAAAAAAACTAATTTTGTAAAACTAGTTTTTTTAAAGAACAAGTTTTTAAAAAACAAATTTGTAAAGTTTGTAAAAATAAAGTGAATATTAGTTTCTCTTGCCTAAATTTTGAGATTTATGTGGGTTGAAGATGTCGTTTGAGGAAGGAGGATTCAAACAAAAATTATGACTCATCTACCCATGTTTTAATTTTCTTTATTTTCCCATCATCTAGAAATTATTATATATATGACAGAGAAACACAGTTATAAATGTTCAGTAGTGCCATGTAATGTGTAGGATTGTGGGATAAGTGTTATTGTTCATGTCCACATTAAAATGAAATAATTTCAGACATTGTCAAAATACGCTTGCTAGGAGTTAACGTTTATTTACATAAGACATACTTATGTTGGTGAATGTATAGGGAAATGCACCCTGCTATACACTGTAGTATCTACAAATTTTCAGGTCATTTTAGATAAATATTTTGAAAACTTAAAAAGATTTATTTTCAAATATTTTACCTAATTAGGAATTCATACTAAGGAAATAGAGCCATTTGTAAAGATAAACATATAAAGATGGTTACACTACAACATTCTCCCTCCCTCCTTCCTATTCTCTTAAATTTTTATTAGGGCGAATTTTGAGCCACATCACAGAAGACAGAATATTAGAGCACCGAACACCAAAAACAACCAACTCATGGCCAATCCTGCTCCATTCTCACCTCCATCAGCTTTCTCCTATATTTTTAAAAGAAAATCCAAGACATATTATTTCACTTGTGAATATTTCAGCATGTACCTCTAACAAATCTTTTTTACAAAACCATAAAATTTCACTTTATCATTATTATGCCAAATATTAATAATAATTCCTTGGTATCGTATATCCAAATTGTTTGTTTGAACAGAATGCAGGCAAGGCCTACTCGTTGCAGTTGGTTGATATATCTTTTGAGTTTTTTTAAATTTAAGCCTTCTTTTCCATCTTTTTCATTTTTTTCCCCCATGGTACTTTTTTGTTGAAAAATTGGGTTGCTTTTCCTGTAATTTCTCAGCCTGGATTTTGCTGATTGCATCACCATGGTGTAGTTTATCATGTTCTTCTGTTCTTTGTATTTCCTACAAGCTGACAATTGGATCTGTAGGGTTAGTAAAATTTAGGTTTAATTATTTCTTTTTCTGGAAGAATTGCTTAATCGGTTGTGCTATGTTCTTATATTAGGTGGCACATAATGTCTGCTTTTCTCTTTTTTGGTAATGTTAGCAGCTATTGATGATCAGTGCCTGTATGTATTAGTGTATTTGGGGTAGCAAAATAGAAATATTCTCATTCTATTATTGCCTTTTCATTTATTTCTTATGATAATAACCTGTGAAGAGAAAATTTCCTATATCTACTACTTAGTTACTAAGGGGTCTAGTTTGCAGCATTATTCCTAAAAGGACAAATTGGAAACAATTGAAATGTCCAACAATAGGTGAGCTGATTAAATTATATTATAGCTGTGTGATAGAATTCTATATAATTATTTTGAATCATGTTTTAGAAGAATACCCAATAATATGGAAAATTTCCAATGATTAAATTTATAAAGCATAGTAAATAGTAAAATGGTGGTATGCTCATAATTGTTTTCCCAAGTATTTTTACATAGAAAAAAAATACTGAAAGAATAATGGTTACCTTTCAGTAGTGGAATTAGGATTTTAAACATTTTTTTCTTTATACTTTTCTGCATTTTCCTTATGCTTTTCTGTAGTTTCCAACTTTTTTTTTTAACCATTGTTCAAATGAGCAAAATATGGTCTAGGGACTGAATCTTCTGTAGTAGGCTATCTTGTCCCATCTTTCAACCTGTAAATTTAACCTGTAGAATGGTTGTAATTGTAGAAGCACAGATAGATCACTGCAATCTAAATTAAGTGCTATCTCCCCTAATAGCTTTTTGTGATAGGTGTGTTTCTTATTATCTTTGTACACCCAGATGCCTCATACAGGGTCTGGCACAGAGCAACATTAGTAAACATGGTGAACTGAATAAGTGCTAGGATAGGCTGACCTAGAGTCATTGCCAGGTCTAATGTGTTGTCCAGCTCTTTGATGCTCCTTTATCCTGCATGATTTACCTTGTGTGAAATATTTCCATCTCTGCTTTAGAGAGGAGATCTCTCTGGAGAACCAGTTTAGAGAATGAATCCCTAGTTTGGCATCTGTAGGGTAGAACATTTCAAATATACATACCATCTCATGAACAATGAATGATCAGTTCTCTGGATTAGTACATCTCTCACCTAAAATCACCTCAAGATACAGTCTCTTGATTCCAGCAGTCTTCCACATTTTAGTTTTTAATCTTGTTCTACATTATTTTTATTTTTAGTTATTTAGGGGTAAATAACTAAATGTGGTTTATTTTGAAAGTTGATTACATCTAGTTTCATGCATGTCATTATTTTGCCTTCCCAGGAATACAATAGTTGTGTCTTATGCTACTTACTTTTTTCTCCCTCAATATCTAGTACTGTGCTGTTATGATGGTAGATGCTCAGTAGGTAGTTGTTGAATTAATTAGATTGGTGCTATTGCAATAAAGGTAACATTGTTATGGTCAGTAGCATTTAGAATAGAAGAAAAATAGTCTTACTACATTGTCCTCATTGACTTGCTATCAAGTTAAAATTTAGTGTGGGATCAGAAATTAAGTTTATTGAAATCCCAATTCATTCAAAAAGGTTTACTGAGTGCCTAAGTTTGCTGGGTATTGTTCTAGATGGTAGCGATAGAATGGTGAATAAAAGGAAAAAAATGCCTGCCCTTACGGAACTTATATTCTTGTGGCTCTAATCATATATAACTTGCTACCAGGTATATTCTGTGATAATGTATAATAATTTTCAAAGAGTCATCAGCAACAGCCTAGATAAGGTTGATCTAGAGTCAGGTATCTGTTAGCTTTTATATGGTTTTGTGTAATAGCTTGGTAATGATAACAAAGAAAAGAAATACTTATTGAACACTTAACAATGTGCCAAATACTTTATTAAGAATTTTGACCTACCTTACCTTATTTAACTCTCACAGTACTTCTAGGAAGTAGGTAGAATTTCTGTTTGCAGTAGTGAAAAAAAATGGAAGCTCAGAGATGTTAATCAGCTTGCCCAGGATCACAAAGCTAATAAGTGAGTGGCAGAGCCTTATTCAAACACAAGTCCTTCTGATTCCAAAGGGTTTTTTCTATAAGCATTGTTGTAAGAGAATATCCCATAAATTCTCAGTTGTTGAATTTTTCAGGATGATTTATTTGGAAATATAACAGATAGGTTATGATGTCCTCATGTGTGCTTTATTTATTGTGCTATCCTTTATATAGCAGCATATCCATAAGGAATGAAAGGATATCAGGGTGCACATGGGTGGATTAAAAAAAAAGGATGATGTGGGAGTCAGTTTGTTAGGCAGAAGAAGGTCATGTTAATGTTCCAAAGTGACCTGAAGTGCTGTGTCACAGTATTTAACATGCACATTTTAAAATGGTACACATAATGAACCAATAGTAGATGTCATTCTAGTTCATCATTACCATGTTTCATTGATTCTAAGATGTTCATTCTTTCCCTCCCCATTTTAGCATTTCTGAAATCAAGATGCCTCTTATAATCAATATCATGTCATAGTTTAATTGGCAGACTTTTTTCTTTCCTTACAGTAGCACATAAAACCATGTTGAGTTTTAGATTTGAAGAAATATAATTATTTACATTTCATTTCTTAAAGGCTGCATAGAAGTTATTTCAGTCATCAGATTGTTAATTTGTGTATGTGTTTTTTTTTGCCCAGAACACTTGTATCTCCTTGATAATTTGTGTTTTTAATGCTTTAGATGTATTAGATAAAAGCTTATACTTACAATTACCATGCAGCTTTAAAATTTTTACTTGTTCAACAGTATAACTGTGTTTGGGTGTTTTCAGAACATGTGTTAATATGCCAGAAAACCATCGCTTCTCGGCCTTTTGGCTAAGATCAAGTGTAATATGCCAGAAAACCATAGGTATATTGGGTTATCAATACATTTTGAAGAATTATATTTATATACTTTGTCCAGTAATGTATCATGGTTCCAAAGAGACCATCAGGCTTTTCAAGTCATTACCTCACTTTTTAAAAAGTCCTTAAATACATATTTAGATGAACCACATAACTGTGATTTCAACATCTTAGTGTATTTTTTAAAAATAATTAATGTTAAGGAGACAACCTAGTAGATTAATTAATATTAAATTATAGCTTTAAATTGTATCAACAGAAATGGAGTGAAAATGCCTCATTCCTTTAAGTTTTGTTCTTATACCACCTATCACCATGAGTGTCTGCAGAATTTTCTGAACGATGGGAGGTTTGGCACGATTTGGAACATATGTGTCTTTGATTTTCACATGTTGTTCTAACTGATGTCAAAAGGAGGTTTTGCATTGGCAGCCTGAAGGCAGTTCATGGCATTTAGTATCTAGGTACACTGGAAGTTCAGATTTAAGGTTAAGCAAAATGCTGACTTGGGCTTTTTTTGACATGCATTGCCTTTTGAAAACATAGTAATGATGATGTTATATATATTAATTTTCAGTGTTTCCTGCATATTATTTAAACATCCAAACCACAGAAAATGTTTTTTTTTTTTTTAAATAGTAGTCTTTAGCTAAGGTAGGATGCTATTGGTATAAGTATGAATTTACATTAAGAAAATAGAATTTTTTTTAAGATTTAGTAAGAATAAAGTCAGTATTATACTGAAAAATTATAATTTGTAAAGCTTCTCCCCTTGCCTTTTGCAGAAGTCTAAATAAGCACATGAATTAAGTTTGTAAGCCTTACAAAAACTAAAGATAAAACTGAGAAAATCAACATTTTAAATCATGCTAAATCTCTTCCTATTTTTACTCATCCTCTGGCAGAGCATTGACAAAAATATGAAATTGATTTGGTTGAAGGGTGTTAAAGAGCCGACAGCCAAATGTCACAAACAATGAATGGCTGCAGTGTTGAAAAAATCAATAGGAAGGTTAAGCTGGTCTTGTGAAAGACTTGGCAGACTGCTCTGTTCCAGGAAGATATCTGTCTTCTGGCCTTGGTTGCATGATCAAAAGGAAAACTTGATAGGTTTAATGAAGGGAGATACTGTAAAACTGACAACAGAAATATAGACACTGTGGTAAACTATAGTGCACATCAGTGAGTGGAACTATTAGATATATTTTTCAGCCTGAAAAAATACTTATGGGTAGAGATGTCAAAAATATTAACATTCTTTTACTTTTTCATCAGTTCCTCTATCAGCTAATAAATTTGCCTCAAGTAAACAAAGGATTGCATTTGGCTGAGTATATGAGATGTTTAAAGTGTGAGAATAATTGCTGTGTTAATTAGTAAAAGAATTTTCCAAATTATAATGTTTAAACTCTAAATCAACATTGTATCTTTGTCATTCTCAGATTGTATCTAAGGTATTAAGAAAGATCAACAGCCTAGGTAAAAAAGACAGCCACTGACTTGTCAATGAAAATAGAAAGTCCGTCACTGAAAACCAAGGTGGGATTTATGATTCATTAGTCCACCCCACAGGCCATTAAGGTATATTTTATAGGACCATCTTTTTTTTACACTTTTATTGATAAACAGTATGTTGGCCTAAAAAATACTTTACTGTGATTGTTTTGATGAGAGCTATATATTATGAAGCCTGACATTTTAACACATATCAAATAAGATTAAGATCATTTATAGATACATTTCTTTGCAGTTTACTGTAATTTGTTATTTTTCAGCTGTATACCAAGTAATATTTTGTTTGCATTATTTTTTCACCTGAATTTCTTAAGAACTTTTATTATACTATGAAATCAATTATTTCTTGGGTGCTCACTGTATTTTAGTCACTGGGTTGCTGATGTATGCTCCTTAATTAAAAGCATTTATTTTGGAAGTTTAGAGATTTCAAAAAATTTTTAATGTCTTTTGTTTTTTTTTTTAAACAAAGAGGCAGCTCCATTTTATTTTATTAGCCTTCCTTAGATGTGGCAATCTTTTTGTGTATGTCTCTGAGTGGATTTAAGAAAAAGGAACCATTAGTTTAAAATTCCCAAATGTGGTATTCAATTTGGAGAAGATGATAAACTGTTTAAAAGCAAATAAATAAAAAGAACAGAAAAAAGGGAGAGATGTCTGGCAGATTTTCTGCAAGTGGACGCTGTAATAAAAATGCCCCCTACTTTGTCAGGATGGTATTTGGAGGGCTGCTGCCATATGTTACTTTCCTTTTTAGCTGGGATTATGCCATCATTATTGCTGATAAAAGCTGTTTACTGCCTTGGCAAAGGAACGATGCTTGGAGCAGTTTTGGAAACCACCATTCAGTTTACAAAAAAGTTCATTTAGTGCCAGATGCTAGAATCCTAGGTCTTTGTTATCTTTTCCTATTATTAGATCCAGCCATTGTCTATTTCTTTTTTCCCTTTATAGTAGAATGTTGCTTCTTACTACCTGTTTTCATTCAAGCCGTTAATGTGGGAGGTTATGTAAATTATTACATTCTTCATGTTAACTGATCAGTAGTAAAGATGGGCAATTTGGCTTTCAGAACAATTGACCAGATTTGGAATAAGCACTGTAGTGTGCAGTGAGGTTCCAGTTTCTGAACAGCCTGAATGTGTACTCTCTTTAGTACCACTGCACATCAAGGAGAGCTTGGTTCAGTGTTTGAATAAACTGTTGGTCAGTATGCAATCTCTGGAAACATTGAAGGTGGGTATTGTTTTGGGTTGATTTATTACATTGTTTTTATCCTGTTATGAAACATGCTAGAATTTTAACAAAATTCATAGTTGTAACTTTTTCTGAGAATATTACCTTTCCAGTTATTTTTCTGAGACATTTTCTCTGCTTTTAAACACAACATTTAGTAGTGACTCAGCATGATTGGATTGCACTGCCCTAGGAACTTGTAAATGCCAATAATAGTAGACTTTTTTGTTGTTAATTAGCATATAATACTTAGTAGGCCTTTGATGCATACTTAATACTCCAGCTTTGTATAAGGCAAGTAGATTGTTTTATTTTTAGTTGTTTTTTGTCAACATTTTATTAAAGTCCATTTATCTTTCAGTGTCTAAAAACATTCTTTTTCTCAACTTGCAGGACTGTCCTGTGGAGTCTGTATGTGTATAGAATGTGATGTATTGGCCCACCCAGAGGTTATACTGTTGGCCATGTTGGTATTATGCTTCAACCATCTTTTTCCACACCTCAGAATTTAACTTGCACTCCTTATCTGAATTAAGAATTTCTTTAAGTGCAAAACTAACTCTTAAAAGCAATGCTGACAAATTAGGGTCTTGCTGATTTACCTCAAAATATAGCCATGATTCCCCCAAGTATTATATACTTACACTCTGATGCTCTACTTACACTCTGATGCTCTCTTTTTCTAGGAACTGTCGCCAAGAGGACAGAGTCCAAAAACTAGTGTAAAAACCACATTTTTTATTGGACTTTTCTGAGACTTGGTTTTCTCATTATAAAATATGTAGATAATATCTGTTTGTAAGGGTGTTATGAAGAGTCTGGGAGATCATTTTTACAAAAAGAAGAATATCAGTCATCTGTTAGAATACTGTAGAATATACCAAAATGTACCTGACCTGGGATGCTACAAATGACCCCCCTAACAATTCAAACTTTTGGATGACTTTAGTTGGGAAAAGAAAGGAAAATCCATCTTTGAATTTATCCAGGTACAAAGTTGAATGATACGAAATGTCAATGTTAGATTGAAGTTGAAAATTTAGAATTACCTGGGTGACAGTTAAGTGTCCTTATTAAAGATTGCTATTATTTGAGTTTATGTGTAACTGTTGTTTTTCAGAAGTAGTTTTTGATGGTTACAAGTGAATACTTAATTGCTTAGTTTCTTGAATTAACATGAACACAATTTAAAAGTATTCTTAAAATAATACCCAAACAAAAAGTTTTTAAGCTGAAGCTATATTTTAGGGAGTAAAAACTTTAGCTATGCTCAATATGAGTTAATAAATGGATACTGACATGAAAAATATACATTTATTTAAACAAGAAATATTAATTGACTGCTATATATATATATACACGCACATATGTAACAAACACACAAGTATGCATACACATGCACAACATGGCACTGTAATAGGAATCTCTGGAGAGCACCAAGCTTTGCACCAATATATACTTGCTATTTTAATTAACGAATTAATTTTTGTTTTGTTTTTTGTTTTTTGTTTCGAGACAGGGTCTCACTCTGTTACCCAGGCTGGAGTGCAGTGGCATCATCTCAGCTCATTGCAGCCCCAACCTCCCAAGCTCAAGCTATCTTCCTACCTTAGCCTCCTTAGTAGCTGGGACTACAGGCACATACCACCATGCCCAGCTGATTTTTGTATTTTTTTTTGTAGAATTGGGGTTTTGCTATGTTTCCCACTTGAACTCCTGAGCTCAAGTGATCTTCCCGCCTCCACCCCCCGAATTACTGGGATTACAGGCATGTGCCATCACACTCAGCTCTAATTTATTTTAAATATTAAAAAATGTAATGTATTGAACACCCTTGCTTCCTAAATAATTGCCTTTCAGATTGTATTTGCAGAATTGTTAGTGAAAAGATCATTAATTGTAGAAATTAACATTTCTTCTCTAGTTGTCTAAATATACCTTTATAATTTTTAGCGAGTGAATGTGTTTCATTCATCTTACTCAGATAGCTTTAGCTAATTCAGTTGTCTCAGATTTTCCAAGAGAGTAAAATGTCATTGCTTTCTTTCCCCATTTTCATAGCCATATTCATTTGTACTTAAGATTGCAATCACTGTCATTTAGGACAATTGAAAGGTAGCTTGGGTTTGAAAGAGGTTGTGTTTTGAATGTCAAGTTACCATGGGTTCCAGACCTCCAGTTTCGCTGTTTATTACAATGATGGCTTTAAACTAGTTACTGGACTTTTCTGAGAGTTGGTTTTCTCATTTTAAAAAAATGTAGATAATATCTATTTGTAAGGGTGTTATGAAAAGAGCTTGGGAAAAAGTGGGTACTCTGTAAATAGTAGATATTTTTATTATCACTAAGCTAGATTGTATCAGCATGAGGTGACTAAGTCA